GCAAAGGTTTGAGTAATTTTAGCACTTGCAACTCGTTAAAAAAATAATATTTCTGAAATTTGTTTTCTTCACTACGCACTATTTTTTTTACTTCATTCTGAATAGCCCATAGTTTACTATAAATGCTGCTGCTATTCTTGCTGATCATGGTTCGATTAAATAAATGGTTCGATTAAATAAACTAAATAATTTATAAATATAATATGAACGATATCAATAATGAAATAAAATTTGGTGAATATAGAGAGAGAGAGAGAGAGAACAATAATAGCGATTTGTTATCTCCTAACGGCGAAGACGTATTAAAAAACAGTTTTTGTTGCCCCGGAGGATGGGCTAGTTGACGAGGTTGCGAACAAATAATCAAAGACGGAAAAGGATGTTGGCGGAAGGGTTCTTTCTTGTGTTTAGATTGTATAAAATTTGAAAGAAAAGTTGCATTCTGAATTTGGGTGACAATAGGTTCCATTATTGGAGTGATTGTGTTAGGAATTATTGTACTTATGATAATTTCCTAATCGGAGTTAATTTGTAAAGGAAAGGTGTTAAAAAACTCCGTAGAAATCAAAAAAAAACTAGCCAATTTGCCTCCGTGGTGTGGTTGTTATTTATTTACTAATCAACAAGGAGAAATTATTTATATTGGTAAAGCCCGCAATCTGAAAAATCGGATTAGTAGTTATTGGCAAAAGACCCCAGTCAGTGATTATTTCCAACAACAAATTCAGGATTTCAGCGTTATTTTAACCCAGAATGTTAAGGAAGCGTTAATTTTAGAGCAAAATCTTATTAAAAAGCACCAGCCACGTTTTAATGTTTTGCTAAAAGATAGCAATTATTATCCTTACCTTGAAATTACAGCCGAGAAAAATCCTCGCTATAAAGTGGTGCGGAAAATTGACCCGCAAAAAAAAAGTTCGTATTTTGGTCCTTTTCCGGACGGCAGCAAGGCTCGCGAGATATTACAATTACTAGAAAGATTATTCCCTCTTGCTAAATGCAAAGGCAATTTAGGAAAGCCGTGTTTTTATTAAACTATCGGCCAATGTTCCGGTCATTGTTGGCAAGCGGTCGATAAATCCTACTACGAAAAAACTCGGAAACAAATTAGCCAATTTTTTCACGGCCAGACCCAGGAAATTAAAAAAAAAATTCTAGATTCATTACGAAAAAATGTTAAAGATTTAGCCTTCGAAATCGCTCAAAAAGAGAAAAAAATTCTAGATAATATTGACTTTTTTACTAGCAAGCAAAACGTTGAATTTCAACAAAATAACGACTACGATTTTCTGGGTATTCATTCAGAGGAATTGCCGGCTAGTGCGGCTGGCGGCTCTAAGAACATTATTACGCTTTTTTTGCTTATTTATCGTTATGGTAAGTTGACGAACACGGCCGAGGCGTCTTTTCCAGTCTGAACTAATCCAGATGAGATAATTCAATCTTATCTTTACCAGTTTTACCAAAAAAATCTCCCCCCGCAGATTTTATATTTGCCGAAAACAATTAACGGCCAGGATTTATTGGCCGAAGAATTGGGTTTTCGGCTAGAAATTGCTCGGCGGGGGAAGAAAAAAGCGATTTTGCATCTGGCTCAGCAAAATGCTTATCAGACTTGACGAAAAAATTATTGAAATGAGTTTCAACAAGTCAATAAAAACCCGGTACTGGTTGAGATAAGCAAATTTTTTGGTCTTTCAGTGCCGTATTATATCGAATGTTTAGACGTTTCTAATCTTTACAAGCAGAATGTAGTAGCAGGTTTTTTGGCATTTACTAACGGAGAAAAGGATTTGCGAAAAAGTAAATTGTATAAGTTGGCTGAGACGGAAAATGATAGTGATATAGCCCGAATTAAGAAAGCCGTTGCTACTCATTACCAAAAATTTTCGGCAGAGAAAATGCCAAATTTACTAATAGTTGATGGGGGGAAAGAACAAGTAAAAGCGGTCCAACAAATTTTAAAAGCCTTAGAATTGCCAGTGCTAGTAATTGGATTAGTTAAAAACGAAAAACACCGCACGACCAAAATAATTACTAGTGAATTAACGGAATTAGATTTTGGTCCTCACGAAAGAATTAGAAATTTTTTTACTAATTGTCAAGAGGAAGTTCATCGTTATGCACTTAATTTTCATCGTAAATTACACCAACGAAGTGTTTTGAAGAAAGATTAATATATTGCCTCATTAGAAATTAGCGGCATTTTTTTTATAATTTTCTAATTTTATTTTAAGATCTTTTAATTTCCTAAATTTAAACCAACATATCGTTATGATCAGTTATCCTATCTTTTATCAGGTTCATTAGGTTTGGGTTTTGTAGGTTTGATTTTGGGAATAGTGGCTTGGAATATTTTTTGAAATTGGTATCATAACAAATACTCGCCCTACTTCAATCGTTGTCAAAAAAAAAAAGAGAGAGAGAGATTCATAAATAGTATTAAATGTAGGATATCAATTATGATAGTAAATTTTCTTTTAGCCGATTTTGAATTAATTAAAGAACTTCCTCAGTCTATTGATGCGTTAAAATTAGATTTATTTGAACCCCTAGCGGTGGGGGAGAATATGATTTCTTATCTTATTTTTACTGGTCCATATGCCGAACTTAATAAAATTTTTCATTGTCGTGACACTGGTGAGAAATCAAAACTATTGGGAAAAGAAATAAATTTTAAATTAGAAATAGACACTTTTTCCGAGAAACTTTATAATTATGAAGGGGAAATTAAAGGCATTGACCCTTGATCAAGAAAAGAATGAGTTGTTATAAACAGCAGGGCAAGGTTGGAAATTAGTAACAGAGATAAGTTGT